TATTAGAAGCACCTAAATGGCAAAGACAAGTATATAGTCAAAATAAGACAAATTTCAATGATTTTGCATTCAATAAATACAAAGTTTTTTATGTGTAATCAAGATAATGCTTCTTTCTAAGCTTTCTTTGATTATAATTTTGTCTGAAACTTACAAGAACACATGACCTAGTTTGTAACCTTTTCGATTTGCCTTGCTTGAGAAGGCACAAGGAGATTAGCATTCTTGTCCTTGAAGTTGAATTTTATTTGTATTCTGAAATTAAACTGAAAATTACTTGCACAGATAACAGTGCAAACAGTGGTCATTAATTTAGTTATGAAAGCACTAAATCTCTAAACAGCACTTTGTGTTTAGTTTTATTTATTATTTTACTAAATTCATGAATAATATTACCTTGACTTTTTCAGGTGTTAATGTCGGTTGTTGTGGAGTGAGAACTATTCGATTCAGACCAACACTGGTTTTCCAAAAACACCACGCTGATATTATGTTTGAGACATTTGATGAAGTACTGGAAGAAATGAAAATGTGAAGCAATTAATAATTGTAATTACAATAATATTATTAATACATTTTAGTAATTGCTATTTCTCAATTAAAATAATATCTTAGCTTATTATTGTGTAATCACTTCAACTTATATTTAAATATCTGGATATCATATTTTACATTTTCTGGAATATTTGTTTTACTAAATAACTTTCTTTTTCGTGTTCTTCAATTTAGTTTTGGTAACATTGTTTACATATTGTGTTTTCCAAGCTTGTCAGGTATGTCTTTCTAATACATGACTGCTTGTTAAATGTAGTTATTATGATTTTTATGTTTCAAATTACTTATGGTTTACAAATGTACGATACAAGTTTTTAAATTTTACATTTTCTTATTATTTGCTACATTTGACCTCCAGAAATATAAATACCTCTTGTCTGATATTTATTTGATAATGTGTCAATAATAGGGTGTATAATTGAATATGTAATAATAATTACGGTTGGTTCTCTCAGTTATCAGTTTTGATGAATAAAATTTAATGAATACCTTAATTGCAGCTGATGAAACAAAGAATTCCAGTTTTATATAGTGTAATATTATTTAGGTTAGCTGAATCATAAGTATATTAAAGTGGGGGAGTCGTCACCTGCACATGCGTCAGATAGCCATAGCGTGTCATTGTTTACAAACAAGCGTCTACCCATAAGCCTTTGCGTTTTTAGAGTGTGTTGTTATCTTTGCTTGGGACTCAATTCCAGTGCACACACACGTAGTAACAATATGACCGTGATTTAATGTGTACTTTTATCACGTTATTACAGCTGTAGGTTGTAGGTTTTATGCAATGTAAGTTAATTTCAAAACACTAATTGATGTTGTTGTAATGTGAATATTAGAACATCATAGTTTATGGCTGATGTCTATGCTGTTAATGTCAAATAAAATACTGCCACATTTCTTGCAGTTTTAACCCAGAAATTCATTTATATATCACTTTTTTAGAAAGCAAAGGAGTATGTGCAAGAATAGAAATGACTAAAATAAGTAATAAGTAATTTAAAAAAAACAACGCATTTACCACAGCAGGTAGTGTGCCGTACTTGGTCATAATGTATTTTTTTTGAATAAATCTGTATAAGAAATATGAACAATAATATAAAGCAATCAAGACCTGATGCCAATACAAAGGAAACTCTGGATTCCATGTCATTGTTTGGTAGCATGTGTTCCATGTAGGGGATTTTGTCAAAATCATCAAAAATATGTTATCATTTCATTTTAATTTCTAATTGTATCTCCCAACCTAATCTGGATGAGGGCGTGACACACAAATACGTGCATGTAAGTAACAATATGTAATGGTATGATCATGGGTATCCAAAAGAATTGTAAAAATCATCTAACTCTAAATGTTGACAATTCTAAATGTTTACAAATCTTCGCACTATACACCGGAAGAGGGCAGTCGTAAATATAATTGAGGCTTTTATTTACCTTAGGTCGAAAGCGAGATTTGGTTTTGGCATTTCTTCCATCATATTCTAAATACCATGATTAATTCGAATAAAGCAGTGGACCATTTCCACCAATCAGGCAGCTGGATATACGATCTATATTCTCTGTATAGATTCTATAAATGCATGGAGTTTCATTTATAACACAGGGCCGCCATGTGGGACCCAAGAATAACATTTGCAATTGGGTAACAACCTGCAACAATTCCGCGCCATGTGACTGACAGTTCACTGACCGAAACGTGCCAATTTTATTACTGTGAGATAATTGTGCTTACAAATGTGAATGAATTTGCACAATGGTTGGTTCTGACACGAACTTCATTTGATTATCTATAACAAAAATAATGCCATGCTATTTCGTCGGCCACTATAATTTGAAAATATTGGTTTTGTATTAACAATCTGGAAAGGTGATTTAATCCACTTTTTGTTAAATTTCCATGTCATATTCCAAAGAAATACAAGGTAGCAAGTAGCAATAGCTCAAGGCAATGCAAGGAAAATAGATGATTTGTAGAATTTTTGCTCTAACTAACCATTTTCTATACATTAGGAACGTGCAATGGCGCGGTTCGGTGCAGTACGGTGGATTGTATATTTCTCTATACTACACGATTTAAAATTAGGTATGTTATTTCCACTTGGCCTTGATTTAAAAACTGTATTTAACTGTTGGTGTGAAACTCTGTACTGAGTATAGAAATATACTCGTATTGTGTACATATTTACCAACTTGTTCAAATATTTTTTTGAATGCAAATCTAAGATCGTTATTTGGTCGCGAAACTTCTGCAATGAATATGATATATCCACTGAAAGTGTTACATATTACAGCGAGGCTCATGGTAATACAGGGTGATTAGATCACTGCCTTAGTACACCCTCTGACTCGATTTGAATCCCAGCCTCGACTTGGAAATTACCAGAGAAACGTGCTGAAATGGTCTAAGGTGACTCAACATTAAGTTAGTAGGTACCGGTCAAAGACTGTCCAGCTTCTGTTTAAATACACTAAATAACGTACTGATCACGAGTTGCCGTTATGCTATTGAGATGCTGAATGATTCGAATTACGGACATCGAGTAACGAGCATTGAGTAACGAAAACATCGAGTTACAAAGATGACGCCCATATTTTAGAAGCCACGCCCACTTTTGCAAGACCTCATCGAAATTGTAACTCGATGTTTAATTAACTGCTAACAGAACTTCGAGTTACGGCAACATACATTTTTGTATTTTTTGAACGTCCACATTTAGTAACTCGAACTTTAATTAACTGTTAACCAAACATCGAGTTACGAGCAAAAAAGCTCAAATTTAGTAACTCAAATGTTAATTAACAGTTAACAATTAACCGAATTTCGAGTTAGGGGAGTCATAACACGTTAAATAAAACAAAACAAAATATGTAGCCCGTGACTCGAAGTTCGCTTAATTATTAATTAAATTTGGAGTTACTAAATATGGACGTTAAACAACAGTAACAATCTATGTTTTTAACTGTTAATTGAACATCAAGTTACTACAATTTGGGCGAGGTTTCGCAAAAGTGGGCGTGGTTTCTAAAAAATGGGCGTACACTTGGAGACCATATAATCACTCGTAAATCTTACTGTACTGACATTGTTCAACCATGCAGCAGTTAAAATACTTAACAGAGGCAGTGGCACGGGGGGGGGGGGGTCTGTTCACCATGTCCCGGTGCCGCCGCCACTGCTATACCAACTGTCAACTCTAAACGATGACACAAGTTCCAGGGATGGAATGGCCAAGTTCGTGACATTGCTAGGGATGCATTTATTAATAAGATGTGGGTAATTAATGGAAGACCTCTACTGGACCACTTTATGAATTGATGCGTAAAATCCGAGCAAAATTCAAATGGTTTGTATGTGTGAGAGAAACGACGAACAAGCTCATACGTTATCGAAAGGCAAATCGAAGCACATTTGGAATTCAGTTGATAGTATGACTAACAACGTTAGCCATTCACCATCTACTATAAGGGGTTGTGACGGGCAAACAAACATTAGTAATGTGGGAAAAGCACTATAAAGCTCTCCTCTGATCTGTAACAAATTACCAACTTGAAAACAAAAATTAGTTGATATATGTTGTGAGTGACGTGACATACCATGACGATATGATGGTTACCTGTAATGAAATCAAAGTAGCTCTTAATAAATTGAAAAAAGGGAAATATGTCGGAAAAAACAGTCTGTGCTCGAAATATGTCATATTTGATGATTAAATATTATGTGTCTTATTAGACTTGTCTTTACTGCATTATTTGTGCACGCGCATCTACCAGACTATTTTATGAATACAATGATTTGCCAAATTGTTAAAGATAAAACTATCATAAGAGTAAATAACTATAGATATGTTGATTGTATTTGTTATTTCGAAATTATTTGAATTGTGCATTATAATTGAACAGTTTATTTAAACGTGGTAAAAACCATTTGACAAGGTATTATTATTATTATTCAAAAAAGGACTTGACAGGGGGTACATTTATTCATTGTGCGTTGTTTATTGTATTGGTACCGAGGTCAAACTTTTTTGTATTCGAAGTGCTTCAGAAATATCTGTGTCCTTTAGAGTGCACAACGGAGTCCGACAATAAAGCATTCCTTCGTCGACGTTGTTTTCAATTTATTTTGACTATCTCAGTACTAGTATGCAGGTGTTGGGTGTCATTTGGCTGGTAAGATGAATCATATTTTTAATCATATGATATGTTGTTAATTTCACCTTCTATCAAATCATTGAAAAAGCTTGTAAAAGAGACTGGTAAAGAAAGAGTTTCTCTTCCACACTACTAAGACTAAGAATATGGGACAGCCAATGATACCAAGCGTATATGTACTTATATGGCAAACCTTTGGTTTTCGTCCCAGTAAAAAGTGCCTGCGTTATATGGTGTCATCAGATGGCAAGAATGAAGCTGACATGAAGGGACATTTGAGGTGTATTTATGCTAAGGCAAACTTTATATCAGGGAAATTTACTAAAATTTCAGATTGTAATTGTAAGTAATCTTATTTATACAGTATCTATTGTTTGACTGATGTTTGGTGTGATTATCGCAAATATAGTACGAGTGGTTTATAATAACGCCATTCGATTGATCTTATGAATAGAATAGAATAGAATAGAAATATTTTTTAACTTTGAATCTCTTCAGCGCAAGGAGTTGTAAAAGTCTGTCAGCGCCTTTTTACGAGCGATAATGTTTTAATTCTTACTTGTCAACTCTGTGTTTTTTTCTTAAGTTTTGGACTAATTTCAGACGCTGTATTTATTAGTGTTGGTGTTTTTAATGTATTGTATATAGGACTTTTTGGCCTGAAATAAATAATAATTTTAATTATAAATGTTACAGTTGAAGTATGTTTAAAGAATTGTTTATTTTCCTTTACTACATTCGAACAATGAATATTGTTCAAATGTTTTATTATAAACAATATTACATTTTTGATATTAAATTTACTGAATGGGAAAGAATTTAAATACCTATCGTCTTTAGGTTGTCACTGTCCCAGATTGTACAACGGTTAGAAATGCAGGTTTCGTATACTCTCATAAGGTAGAGATGCAGGTTCTAGGGCACTTGGGAGTGATATTTTCCAAAAAGTCTTGGCTATAGACTGTTGAAATTTTGTAGAATTGTGAATAGTGGAACATACTCAAAAAACGATTTTAAAATATAGATAACAGGTGCAAAATTATTTGAATGCTGAGCAAGATTTAGCAAGGCTGTACATAAATAATAAAAAAAAAACATGGTGAAAAAAAGAAATGACGGGATCTCCATATTATGCACTGTATTTAACTTTTTACAAAACGATAATACATTTAAATTTGGAACTGTTACAGCCATTTATTTATGAGCATTAGCAAACTTCTTACTGAGTGAATTGTTATGCAAATTAGCAATTATCTCAGCTTCTTTTTAGTGCACGTTCAAGAACTTTAAAAAAAATAGCTCCTAGACGCTTTGACCTTTTGTTTTGTAATTTTCACAAATGATTGACAATGTGTTTATCTCCAAAACGCCGTCGGGGCATTGTTTTTAGTTGAATAGTGTTACAGCAATCGTACAGACAACTAGCCTGGGTGTTAATTTATGCATAAACTTGAAGTAGTGAAATTTGAGCTGCTGCCCTACAAAATTGACAACTGGTAGACAGTTTTCAAGACGGCGCTTTCTTCATAGTAAACAGATGTACCCATAGACCAATTTTGACAGGAAACAGAAGCATGGTTTATAAGCTAATTTTTTTAAAATCACTTTTGACCAAAAAAGCACATTTTTGTGCATATTTCAAACTACAGTGTCCATAAAAATAAAATACTAACAAAACTTTAAAATTCATGCAATAAGCTTTCCGAAAATATATAGTTTTGTGGACAAGGGAGGTCATCTTGGTTTCCTAATTAACTAATTAAAATACCTGTCAGGGAAACTGCATCTCTACAAGATTGTTATCGAGAGCGCCATCTATGTCCACATGGAACCCGCGTAATAATGTGCACACTTTAAGTTAAACGTGTCTCATTAAATTAACAAACATAACAAGTTTCCCCAAAAGTCACATATTTAACAATTAATTTTACGGGCTGTGAAACACTGGGCTCTGGTGACGTTCCAGTTCACGTACAGTGCCATGCTTTTGTCACTGAACTACGTGATCTTTGAACCCATCTTATAGCGATTACAGACTGACATAAAGACGTTGCCAAAGACCAGAGAATCACTCAAACGATGTCTTCGTTAAAGATTGGAAGAGCTTGCTGTCGGTTGCCGTCGTGTAACACTGAACGGTTCTTACAAGGTAGGGATCTGTTAATTCTCGATTGTCATTGCCGCATTTTGACGTATAGCCCGGAAGTACTACATGTAGTCCGTCGCTGCAAAATGGTTGCGGTTAGAAGGGGCGGGAGCTGGGCTACCGTTCTGAATGTTCACTGCAATATATTAATATATAATTAGACCACGATGCAATAAATGTTGAGTGTGGATATTGAACATCATAAACGTTTTCAGATACATGGCATTGGAATTGTCGCGACTCGTATTTTACATGTGATATTGACATACATTTCAAGGTCAAATAGACCATTCCATTTCGATGGAACTAAAATCGTACGTGAGTGTTGCAAACCATATAACTACAACCACTTAATGCATGTTTCATAATGAGAGCGAATACAGGCATGAATGCATTCAATATACTCTAGCCTGTGCAAATTGCTCCTTTGTCATTCAACTAGAACCCAGAAGCCATTCTATTATCGAACGCAGTTAAATAGTTTGCTGCAGCTTATAAGCGTTTTACATATTTTTGGGGTGGGTAGTCTTTAATCTTCTTGATGAAATGGTTACACCCATTTATAGTGTTCATACATCTGTTTATAGATGTTTGTTTATCGACTCCCCTCCGCGGAAGGGGCGTGTTCACAAGGAGACAGCTCGCTATTCCAAGGGTTCATTGGTCCTAGGGTTCACTGGTCTGAAGGTTCATTAGTCCGACGGCCTTGAATGACAAAGGAATCTCATTTATTGTAAAATTTTAAACATATTTTGCAATCTCAATATATTTTTTTATTCCAAGAAAATCGTCGGACTAATTTAGAAGTTAGTTTTTATGTATTTATATTTCATGCGTTTGTTAGCTAAATTAATAAAACATTATCGGAAATATTACATTTCCAAAAATGTTGGTGATCTTTTGTGTTACTCATTCATAACCAGTGCATGTAATAAATGTTATAGTTTTACTGTCCAAATTTATATTTAATCATCATTAAGTTATATTACTGATTGGATGCACAGCTGCAGATTCTGTTTTTCGGACAGATAGATGTTTCTTTCTTTGAAAGTCTTCATCGTCTTGCGGGTTGCTTCCTGGGAGGGTGGGGTAGTGATATATAGCTGGGTAGAGAGGTTCCCCTGAGCCCTAAATAATGTGACCATTTTTATACCTGGGTAGTTGCAATATATACACCAATATTTATTCCAAAAAAAGAAACGCAATGTCAGCCTGAAAATTGTATATACAATCATTGAAGGCATCAGAGCTTTTTTAGTTAATTTATTTTAATTTTTTTAATTTTTCGCAAACATATATAATCATTTTCATTAGTCTGATTGCCACGGGCTTTGGCGATCTAATAATACTAATACAAAGTATGCACGCGTACTGTGCATATTTTGCAATATCCTTGTAATAACCTTATTATTTATAAATCTTTTTCTCCAAGGAATACATCATTGGAATGGCGAAATCCAAAACGTTTAGAACAGATTTAGTAAACTGTTTTGTGAGGGGTCTAGTCAAACCCCGAAGGCAGCCATGTTTGTTTATTATTATTAGAGGACGCTTAATATGTTAGGATAAAATACCCAGTGTAATACGCAAAATTACGACACGCTGTAAATTACGGCGTTACAGTGACAGGTGTATAATAAACATAATAAATATTTAAAAAAAGCCTAATAAGGTCTTATTTTAATCAGACTATGCGTTAAATACACTTAAATACACTTATGTTTTTATTAACATCATCGTAACTCTATATTGAAACATAAACAACAGTAAGCCTCTTAATTACTCCTTTCCCACTAAATAAAGAAATGAGGTAGCAACTATAGAACATTGCACAGAGAGTAAAAGTCTGATACTGTGTGTAGACTACAACGATGTTTTGTTACTCAACTGTCGTGTTTAGCTTGTGTTTTAGTGCGTATGCCAACCGATGATGCACAGGTTCACTCTGTGAAGGAATGCAACCACAAAGTAAACACAAACTAAAAGAAGCGTCTACTAAACCTTTTAAATTGTATAGAACTTTAGGGTGTCCACAGAATTTCAATGGCAGTTATAAACACAATTGTTCGTCATTGTGGTTTTTCTTTTCCTTTTGTTTGCTTTTTCTGGGTGGAACGATAACCACATCACCTAATACTTTATTACATCTTTTGAGAAGTTAGTTAGACAATTAATTAACAATAAATACTTAGAACCCTCGGAATATTGAACCTTCGGTCTAATGAACCCTCGGACCAATGAAGCCTCGGACCAATGAACCCTCGGAACATCGACCTGTAACCGTTCACACATAGACAGTGACATATGTGTATTCACGAATCACAGGGGGTGGATAATGTATTCAATTCACCTCTCCACGTAGAATAACCGCCAGACTATGAGCATCATTAAATCTTCATTGCAATTGCGTTCCTCTTGCAAGCACTAATTCAAGTATGTTTATCACACAGACATCATTAGAAACAATTATTGGAAATAATAGTTTAAGTCAATGACACTGCGCACAGCTTTGCTAGAACACATATTATAAATGGTTATGAGCGTGTTTGCTTGAATCGTAATGGAATGTGTGTATGCTTTCATCGAAGTGAATGCTATATTCGCACATAAATCAATGTGGGCATTCACAGTATTTGCAGAAGGAGTTTCAATGTTTTTTTTATATGCAGACATTGATTCCAGTTCAGTGAACATCAAATAAGGAAGAGAAACTTTAAATGCAATCAAATAATTCAACTATTCTTTACCAATTACGCGGTAGCGTGACAGTTGTGTTTCACCAATCAAGTACAATACACAATGAGTACGATTTAAAACAATATTTATTTCAGAATAATTACGTTGCATTCAAATAAATGATTGCTAAATAGTATCGTCATTAACTAATGAGTTAACTTTACTCAAAATTATGCAAATATCTTCGATTAATACTGCCTGTCACTCTATATCGAGAAATGTGTTATAGACAATCAGGATTGGTCATGCATGTATTAAGGACGATTATTTTCATTTTGTTATGATCGTTATTAATTACAGATGATGTAGGGATTGATATGACTGTATAATTCGATAATCCTGAGTAGTTTCATGTGTGAGTAGGATTAAATTGCATCCGTGCCAGTTTTTTTTAATTGGTGATATTTGTTACTATAGTTAGATGTGTGTCACAAGTGACAAAGCTGATTCCTGACGAGTATGAAGCGCCATTAATGAAGACCACTGTTCCTGGACCACGGTCTAAGGTGAGAGTAACGATCATATTTGAAAACAATATTAGAGCTTATACTCGTTACTTATACTAACATAAGCAATGACGGATATATATTTATGAAGTGTTATACTATATTAAAAGTATCTGTCACCACGTATACAGTATTTTGGTTGATATTATCAATATTACTGTTGCCACTGATATAAAAGAATTACACAACAATCCCTGACCCGTGTACATGTATATAGTTTATATGGTTAATATTCTTAATATTATTGTCACTGAAATATATAACTTGTTTCACTGTAATTTCCGTTTTTCACTACGATAAATATATTGGTTGTCATGGAAACTGATATCATGGATATAGGAGCTGTTAAGTCAGTATGATACTGTCAGCAAAGTAAGTTGAAAATGATTTTTACGTGGATATCGTATTTGTACTGTGTTTTTTTAATGTTCAAAATGTACTCATTAGTTGTCAAGTTCAAAACTTACTTGTTCAACCCAGTTATTTTATGACAACTATACGCGCTGCCACACATTATGCAATAATGTTATTCTATCAGGACAATACGCAGCACAAACAAGACTGATATACTTTATATAATAGTTTCATGTTACGTAATTGTCCAACCACTGGCATTGAATATTATAGATAAAATGAATGTAAAAAAAATGAATAATAATAAATTGTTTGGTACCTTCCTAG